CTCACACACGGAACACGATGAGGACTGCGCAGGACCGGGCGGTGTTTAGTTGTGTTGTATACAGGGTCGCTACGAGTCAGAACCACCTTGATGACACCTAACAGCCACACAACTTCAACTGGTCTAAAAAGCAGCATGAACCCACGGACCAAATACAAGTGAGAGCGGAATCAACTCACACACATACCAACAACATGCAAACATGCATTCACTACTTTAGGAGGTATAAGGAACTTTTTAAAATGCATCTGTTCCTCACTTAATGAAAAGATCTGTACCCGACATTTCCTTTAGTGACAATATTTTAAAATCTACTATCCCACTGTTTTGCACATGCAGCACTGGCAGAATGGAATCGTGTGGTGAGAGAAACACTGTGTCTCAATTTTCCTGGGTCATGATTTCAAATGGTTTGGTAGTCAGGAAATAATGTGATTTGGCAATAATATAATGAAACCAACATCTTCCAATTTTGCACACTAATGGTTGCATAACAACCCAGTCTTTGAAACCTAATCATGTCAGTAAATGAGGATTGAGTGCATATTTTTCACTTTTGTTATTTAATCCTAATTATAGTCTTATCAATTAGCTATGATGACTCTTATTCCTATGTTATCAATAACAAAAACTGAGGCTGAAAACATGAACTGTAATTAAGAAATAATACAGGTAGTTACTGATTCCGATAGAAATATATGCAATTAAAGAAACAGAAAAAAATGGAGGCCTAAACTATTCAGTTAAATCACCTTCACTGGTTAAGCGGAGAACAATTTCTTCATTTTTTTAAATGGCACTACAGATATGGCACTATGGCAATTAACATGTCCTTTGCTTACTGCCTGTAGATGCACCATCTACCCAGGTATTTTGCAGAGGGAGCCTGCCACGGGTGGTGGGGTGGTGGTGGTGGGGGGATCCTTTGTAGACAGCGCCAAGGCTCCTGCACCAGATACGTTCAACTTCGAGCCTCAGTTTTTATTAGGCCACGCTATTGTGAGTTAATTTTTTTAAATATGTTTTATGACAAGGGGGATGGAGTCCTGTACCTATGTGCCCTATCATCTCAAAAATTCCCAAGACCTGAGAGGATGCATTTATTCAGACAGACCTCTGACGACATAGGTAGTCCTTGGAGATTGACCCGAACTCCAGACTTGCCAAGGTCTACCGTCCACAATTCACACTCCGGGACCCAAAGGCCGCCCTCAAATCAGATGTTCCAGAGAGTTCTTCAAGTTCCATTCTCCACATCACTATTTTTCAAAACAAAAGAGAAGGAAGTGGCATTTAAATTCTTTCTTACATTTTCTCCTTCATCATCTTCTATACAAGGAATTACGACAAATCAAAGGACATGGTGTATTGCATGCCTTGCAGAAATTGCAATTGCGTGTGAGAGATATAATAGTTATCTAAATAACCATAGAATATGGCAATACATGTAATGGGTTTTGAAAGCCCTAATGAAATAATCAAAAGAGGTATAGTAAGCTTCTAACTGAAATAATTGGAAATGGACTTATGCAAGAAAGAAGTGGCTTCTGAGCCGGATCTTCGAAGACAACGAAGATTTCATTAAGGAAAGATGAAGGAAAGTAGCGTTCTGTAAGGAGGGACCCGTGACAGTCAAAGGTGAGCATATGCAAGATGAATTTAATTAATGGAGGGCAGCTTTTGCTGGAATGTGAAATTGTCATCTAAGACAAGAAGCATTACTTGGGATCAATCAATAAAAGGCCTTACATTCCAGGGTGAAATGCCAACTTTTTATTAAGTAAGTAATGGTAAAGCCATTGGAAAACTTTAGAGAAATAATAATCCATGAAGATTGCTCTGGCGGAAGTAAACAGAATGTTTAGTTTTGAAAGACTGAGGGTCTGGCGATGAGGAAGACGACTTACGTCAGACTAACATAAGGTAAAAACATCTGAAAGCAAAGCCGTCTGAGGAGAGTGGAAGAAAAGGCATCATAAACAGACTTTTTATGGGGTAAGGGAAATAAATGAAAAGATAACTCGCAGGTTTGGAGTCAGTGCTTGGAAAAATTTATGCTATGGATAAAAATGTTTGGACTCAAATGTATACAAGGTCTAGAGCTTTTAATATTTTATTTCAAGATTATGGTGCTATACATATTAATAACAAAAATGACTATCATTTACCACGATCACCCTGGATGAGTGATTACCACATTCCTTCAAGACTTCTTTTTCCATGGTATGAGCCTCTTTTGGAATATAGAATGGAGTGTTGGAAAGGGGAAAGGGGGAGTTTTTATTGTGATTGATTTGTTCTTGTTATTGTTGTTTGGTGTTATAGGTCCATTTTGACCAACAATGACCCTATGCGTAACCGAACCAAACACCGCCCGGTCCTGCGCCATCCTCACCACTGTTTATTCCCGCAGCCACCGTGTCCCTCCCTCTTGTCCAGGGCCTCCCTCTTTTCAGCTGCCCCTCTACTTTACAAAGCACAGTAAGCTTCTACAGGAGTGGGTCTCTTCTTCGAACACGAGTAAAGTCCTTGAGACAAGGCTCTCCACCTTTGCCTCTTAGGAACATTCTGGCTGTACTTCTTCCATGACAGATTTATTTGGTCTTTAGCAGCACATGGTACTTTCAATATTCCTCACTAGCGCCATCATTCAAATGTATCAACTATTCTTCAGTCTTCATTATTCAATGTCCAACTTTCATATGCTGATTGAGGAAGTTGAAAATAACGGCATGAGTCAGACGCAGCATAGATCCCCAAGAAAAACCCTTCGTCTTCGGCACTTTAAAGAGGTCGTGTGCAGCAGATTCACTGAATGCAGTACATCTTTATATATTTTGAAAGCTGCTTCCATTAACATGGATTGTGAATCTGAGCAAGATGAAATCCTCGACTTCAACATGTTCTCCGTTTATTATGATGTTACCTATTTGTCCAATTGTGAGAATTTTGGTTTTCTTGAAATTGAGTTGCAATCCACACTGAAGGCTACAATCCTCAATCTTTATCAGCGAGTGCGCCCAGTCCTCCTCACGGTCAGCAAGTTGTGTCATCTACCTATCCCAAGTTGTTAACAAGCCTCCCTTCACCCCTCAGGCCACGGTCTTCTTTACACAAGTCAGCTTCGCAGATTATCTGCTGTGCATCCGGATTGAATAAATGTGGTGAGAGGTACAGACTTGATGCAATACCTTTCAGGATTTTCAACTATGAAATGTCCCCATGTTCTATTCACACAACTGCCTCTTGATCCATGTACCAGTTCTGCATGAGCACAATGTTTGCTCAAGGATGACCCTTCTTCTCCACGTCATCCAGAGTTTGTTATGATCCACAGCGTTCCATGCCTCGGCATAGTCCATAAAACAGAAGTCAACATCTTCCTGGTATTCTCTTTCAGCCAAGATCCATCTGACATCAGCAGCAATATCCCTTGTTCCACATCCTTTTCGGAATCCACCCTGAGTGACTGGTAGCTCCCTGTCAGTGTCCAACTGCAACCGTTGTTGGATGATCTTCAGTAAATTTTACTTGTGTTTGATCTCAAGGACATTGTTCTATAATTTGAGCACTCTGCTGGGTCACCTTTCTTTGGAATGGGCACAAATATGGATCTCTTCCAGTCAGTTGGCCAAGTAACTATCTCCCACATTTCTTGGCATAGTAAGTCCTTTCAGTGCTGCATCAGCTTGTTGAAATATTTCCATCAGCACTCCACCAATTCCTGGAGACTTGCTTTTGGCTAATGCTTTCTATGCAGCTTGAACTCTTCCCTCAGTAACATTGGTTTTACTAATATGCTACCTCTTGAAATGGTTGAATGTTGACTAGTTTTTGGGGGGTACAGTGACTCTGTATTATTTCCATCTTATTATTATTAAAAGATCATTTTACTGGGGGCTCTTTTAACAACCCATACTTCAATTGCATCAAGCATATTTGTACATATGTTGCCATCATTATTTTTCTAAACATTTACTTTCTATTTCAGCCCTTGGTATCAGCAACTCTTTTTTCCATCTCTTCCCCCCTCCCCCCTGCTAAATTATAAATTATTCTTTATTTTCATATCTCACACCGACCATTGTCTCCCTCCTTCCCTCACAGTTTCTGTTGTTCATTCACCTGGGGAGGGGGGTGTTATATGTCGATCCTCCTTTCTCCCCTTCTCTCCCCACCTTCCCCCTACCCTCCTGGTATAGCTACTCCCCTACTCCCATTCCTGCTCCTGGATTCCATGTGTCGTGAGCTCTTAGCTCTTATCTGTACCTGAGTACATGCTCCAGTCTAGCAGTGAAAGGCAGGACGGGGGTCATGGTAGTGGGGGGTGAGGAAGCCTCAAGGAACCAGAGGAATATTGTGTGTTTCATCAGTTACTATAGTGCATGCCCTGGTTGAATTCATCCCTTCCTTGTGACCCTCTGTGAGGGGATGTCCCATTGTCTACAGATGGGTTTTGGGTCTCTGCTCTGACCTGCCTTGTTCTCAACAATGTGGTTTTGTTTGTTTGGCTTCTTCTGATGCCTGTTACTCAATCCTGTCAATACCTCATGGTCACACAGGCTGGTGTGCATCTTCCATGTGGGCTTGTTGCTTCTTCTAGATGGCCGCTTATTTACCTTCAAGCCTTTAAGACCCCAGATGCTCTATCTGGGCACCATCCGCTTTCTTCACCACACGCTTTCTGCACCTTTCAATATTTTGCCCATAGAACCTCTCACTATTGCAGATTGAGATTTAAATAGTTTCTTGAGCTCTTTCAGTTTCAGATATGCTGAGCGTGCTCTTGAATATGTGATCGGCGGGGTGGCAGCCTTATTATGTTTCCTACTTGGGCAATCTCTAAGGATGTACATGGGCTACCTCAGGCTTTGCTCTTGTCTAACAATCAGATATATTCACAATTCAGTGCCTATCAGAGACTCATTGGTATGTTCTGATGGCACCTTCTATGATAGCACTGGGGGAAACTCCTCAATATATTCTCAGTCAGGGTAACCAGGATTTTCAGCTCAGGCAGCAGATGGGAAACATTCCATGTTCTCAATGTCAGGGCTTTGATGGTGACATTCTGCATGAAAGAGCAGATCTGTGGGAGAGTCTGTGGGATAGGCCTCTTTACCTGTGGTGGACAGGGGCCAAGAGACACAACACTGGTGTCGTTTTCAGGGTTAGGAAATCTAACCTTACCACACAATTAACCTGAAAAGCCACTTCATGCTCCCCAATGGACCCAGATGGTGCACTTCACTTTAGGTAAACGTTTTTAGAGACATAAGAATTTAGCATCCCAAATTTATTACCCATCTGAGTGGGAGACACAGAACACAGAACAGATTTATATGTTTAGGGGGTATGAATAGGGTTTAAGCTCAATAAACTCTTAACTGTGCTTTACTTTTTAATTTAACTTTCAAACATTTCTTTCCTGTTTTCTGACTGAGAATCTTGTACATGTCAACCTTTCAGAGAAGTGTCACAGGAAAGACATTTTTGTGGTGTTTAATGGAAATCATTTTCCTTGTGGTATTGCTCAGATGCCCTGGGAAACTGACTCCCAAAGATAAATTCAGCTGAGAGCCGTCTTGTGCTAATTTATTATGCAGTCAATGGTTTAAAACAACTTTCCCTGTGTCAGCTCACTGGAGATCGGTTACTGGCTCTCGGGAAGAGAGCAGAGAGGTGAAGACTGCTAAATTTCAAAGATTCCCTCCAAACCGTAAAGGGTTGGTGTAGTGAGGTTGATCGCAGAGCACAGGTATTACACACTGTGGGTACATGTATGCATGTGCACTGTAAATGCCTAGAACATTCATGTTATGGCACTCCATGCTGCTCCTTCTATAATTGTGGGTGAATATTCTAAATCCACTTTCAAATGGTCTCCCTGAAGCACAGTTCTGTAAACAATGTCTTCTAAACTTTCTTCTCCTATTAGAATGCATTGCAGTCAGAAAAATTCTGACTACAAAAAGATTGATGATCTCCCACCTACCACCTGTGTTAGGCCAAGTTGACGAGAGAAACAAATCCAGTGGCACTCACATATGTTTAAGAAAGATTTAGATCAAGAACTAAATGTATATCACGAAAACGTCCCAGCCCAGTCCAACTCAAGATGGATAAGTCTGATACTAGTCCATAAGTCCCTCTTCAGACGCATGCAGCGACGTATAATGAAGCAAAATTCAAGATCACAGGCCAGTGGCTGAAATCGTGTGGATCTAATGGCGGGGGCAGCATCGCAGGGTTTGCACAG